ATCGCAGTGTTCGTGTGCTTCACCACGTCAGCAGTTCACCTAGAGCTCGTCAACAGGCAAACCACAGAAGCCTTCCTCGGAGCTTACAAGAGATTCACCGGAAGACGAGGTATTCCAGCAGTCATGTACAGTGACAACGCCACCACCTTCGTCGGAGCAGCAGATCAACTCGAAAGGCTCTATCACCAAGCATCTAAAGAAAATCAACGTGTTCAGGCTGCTCTCGCCACCAATGGCACTCAGTGGAGCTTCTCACCACCTAGAGCACCCCATTTTGGTGGCAAATGGGAAGCAGCAGTAAAATCAACGAAGCATCACCTCAAGAGAGTCCTGGGAACGACAACGCTAACATTTGAGGAACTCAACACAGTCTTAGTTCAGATTGAAGCCTGCCTAAACTCCAGGCCAATCTGTCCGATGTCAGACGACCCAGAAGATCTTCAGGTTCTCACCTCAGGACACTTTTTAATCGGCGAGCCTCTACAGATAGTACCAGAGTCATCCTACGTCGACGAGAATCCCCTCAAGATGAGGAGATGGAACCTCGTGACTCGGATAGTTCAACAGTTCTGGTCCAGGTGGTCCAAAGAGTGTCTCCAACGATACCAGGCTATCTACAAGTGGAAGACACGCCAGCAGAACATCGAGGTTGGTAACATGGTGCTGATGGTCGACGATAACCTTCCACCAGCCCAGTGGCCAATCGCCAGAGTCATCGCGACTAGACCAGGAGCAGATGGGCTCACCAGAGTAGCCACAGTCAGAACGAGCAAAGCAGAAGTCGGCAGACATCAAGATGGGTCGCCTAATCTCCAGAACATCACAGCAGCCCACTCGGTGTTTGACAGACCAATCACCAAGCTCTGTCTGCTTCCTATAGACCCACCTACACCAGAACAACCTCCAGAAGAAGATCACCCAGATGATGAAGACGATCAACAGCAAGGGGACATCCAGGAACTGCAGGACTGAGAGTTAAGTATCATCTTCCATATGTTTTTAATTTGGCAAGTGATACGTCTCTCACCCTGTTTTTCTCCCCTTAGCAAGCATCAGCAGAACCAGACCAGCAGAAACCAGATCCAGTAATTCAACAACCTGATGTTGAATGCCCCCGGGGTGTTTGAAATGCAGTCAAAATTCAGTCTATCAACGGTTGACCACAGATCGGCCACTTACGAAAATCTTCGGGAAACCTCGGGTCAACGGTCAGGCCTAGTCAATCACCGAATCTCAGAGTCAGTTACAGTCAGTCGTAGAGAGTCGTAGCAACTGAGTTGAGCGAGCAGTATATCGTTCTTCTAAAGCTACCTTCGGTTGTCCGAACAGTGTCAGTACATCACCGTTCGAGACATTTTTGTTTTCTCAGTACATCTCCTATTTAAATTCTCAGTACATTCTCCTATTATTCAATATATTGTGCAGAAAATCTCCAGTGTTAAAATTCAGAACAGTTTGAATTAATTTAAGTGACAATTAACAGAGTGTAACAAGTGACGCTAAGGTGGTTCGATTCCACCGAATAAATCAGTATATTTTTTATAGACGCAGTGCGTTCGTTTTTCACCGGCATTTCCACTGCCCCTTTCCCAATCCACCCTAAATTCAGTTTTCCCTCCAAACAGTAGAAATATCTCAAAAATTTTGCAAGTACGGCCATATAGGTTCTAATTGAACTGGATAGGGGACAGCAAGGCGAATATTTTGAAAAAAAAAAGAAGTGAAATCGGTCCACTAGTTTTCGACATATTACACATAATCGATTTTCATAAAAAATAGAATATCTCCGGAACTGCTGGGCCGATTCAGCCCAGTTTCAATCCCAACCGTCCTTGTCATAAGACGGAGATCCTGTTCAAATTTGAAGTTGATATCTCCATTTTTGCGAAGGCTAGAGAGCGTACAACGATTTTTTGAAAAAAACAGAAAAGTAGAAATATCTCAAAAATTTTGCAGGTACGGCCATATAGGTTCTGATTGACCTGGGTAGGGGACATCAAGGCGAATATTTTGAAAAAAAAAGTGAAATCGGTCGACTAGTTTTCGAGATATAACACATAATCGATTTTCATAAAAAATTGAATATCTCCGGAAGCACTGCGCTGATTCAGCCCAGTTTCAATTCCAACTGTCCTTATCATAAGACGGAGATCTTGTCCAATTTTCAAGTTGATATCTCCATTTTTGCGAAGGCTAGAGAGCGTACAACGATTTTTGAAAAAAAAAAGAAAAGTGGAAATATCTCAAAAACGTTGCAGAAACGGCTATATAGGTTTCGATTGATCCAGATAGAGGGAGTTGAGACGAACATTTTGAAAAAAAAATGAAATCGGCCGATTAGTTTTTGAGATATTTGCAAAAAAAATTCAAAAAGAAATGGCTTTATCTCAGGAACTACTGGACCGATCGAGCTGATCCTATGCCTAGAGTTAGTCCTAGTTAAGACCTATAATCTGACAAAATTTCAATTTTTTTTGAATTTTTTTAGCCCTCTCTTAGTGTTGTATTTTTTAAAACTTAATTTCCAAAAAGTTGCGGAGGGGGGGGGGACAGACAGACATTGTCGCCAAACTTCGTATTTTTACATTTCAGACCATTCTACATCATTTCCAGGCAAAATTAGAAAATCGAAAAATTCAAGGATTGCAAAGCTTCCATTCGGAAGCAAAAACGCCAAAAATTATGTTTTTTTCACTTGTTTGATCATTTTTCCAGTGGAAATAATGCAATTTGGATTGTTCTCCATACAATCGATGAATCTTCGTATGCAGTAGAAGAAAGTGGATGTTTAACAAAATCGACTCAGGCATTTTCCAGTTATTCTAAAAATAAAACTATTGGAACTTTGTTTTTTTAAAATTATCATAGCTCTGATTCCATAAGTGATCACAACAATGATCTCTATGAAATCTCCATGTGGGGTAGAATGGGGGGGATATGGACTAGGGGGTGAAATGGACCGCGGGGAAAAATGAACCCGTGTGCCCTGAACGACTGAATACACGCCGGGGTCAGAAGATAAGAATTAGAAAGACTACGTGGTGAAATTAATATAGGTGGGATTGTATGCATTAGAAGGGGCGAAGAACGGTCAATAGAAAAGATCAATATGACTGAGACATAATTAGATGGAAAGAAGTGTACTGTGATAGAATTTCGAGTATTCTGCGTCAGGTGTCCATTTACTCCCTTGGTTCACAACCCTCATTGAGTCACGCGTATCTACTCAACCACCAGAACTGATTTAATTAGATGAAAGCAATTGCCTTTACCATTCTTGAATTATTGGAATGGATCATGAAAATTTCGTCGTACAGATTTTTGAAAAAATTATCATAGAGGACAGGTGAGGAAAACACTAATCGGCAATGATTTGCAATGATAATTCGGAGCATTAGTGAAAATCTGCATAAATGCAGGAAAAAACTGAGAGAATTCCCTCGCTTTTGGAACGATAGAATTGAAACGGGAATACGAATGTAATATGTTTCGTCTATGAATTCCTTCATTTTTTCCACATTATATTCGAAACATCTCTACAGAAACCTGTTTTGCCAAACGAACTGTCAGCTATTGATGATGAAGGATCCTAATCAATTTGATTATCAACCGCGGTTTAATGTAAACGCATGCATACTCTCTCAAATCTGTCTTATATATACTGTACTCCATCAATCAGCTGTAAACGTTCGAGCGAATCGAACCACTTTCACAGCTCTCTGAAGAATAGTCACATTTTTCATTAGAATATATTTCTTATTAACTTCCCGACTCGAAGGGAGGAAGTTATTGTAATGACCCCGAAAATCGGATGTGAAATTTCGACGATTTTTCCACATTACTCGACCTCCGGAATCATCCTGATACATTTTTGAAGACGTCTTTATTTTTTTTTTTTTTTTTTTAGAGGTTTAGGAAAATCTTTGAAAGATTCTGGTAAAGTGATGTTGAAAACCAGATCTGGGATTTTTACCCAGTAAAAACCCTGTTTTCCTCTTTTCTACCTCTAATCATTCGTTCCCATTTCCCTCGCGGCACCACCGTGAAGTATTACTTCGCGAGGGGGGTTCTCAGCTGTTTGCTCTTCCACTCTTTCCATCCAATGCACACCCTCCTAACCTGCTAAGATGTTATGTGTGATTAGGAGGTTCCAAATAGATTTCTCACCTATACTGCAACCTTGCGCGTGCGTTCCTCGTTTCTGAGTTCCTTCATGACTTCCGCCGCAAAGTTGCTCGTTGCGTCCCAGGCTGTCTGTGATGACAACATTGCTTCTACTAGATTCTCGGGCGAGACTTTTCTTCCCAGTTCAGTCTCCCAAGTATCCCGGATGTCACTGAAACGGGGGCATGTGAAGAATACTTCGGGGAATCTTCATGTTTGAATTTATGAAGATATGCCCGGAAGCACCCATGTCCTGAAAGCATTTGACAAAGATAGTAGTTTATCTCTCCATGGTCTCGACTTACCCAGGCAGCCACTTGCGGGATCAGGCGATAGGTCCATCTCCCCTTGGTCGAATCGGACCATTTCTGCTGCCATCGGCTCAAGCTGTTTCGTCTCTCTTGGATTTTCAGTTCTTCGGGATTCAGCGCTTCTGTTCTCTTCCGTTGATACAGGGACCTTCGCTCCTCAGCTAATATCTCTATCGGTATCATTCCTGAGATGACGCAGACTGCGTCGTCAGATACCGTCCGGTATGCACTCGCTACTTTGAGGGCACTCAGCCGAAAGACAGGTGCAATTTTACGGCGAGTTTGTTGCAGCTGGAGAACGTCAGCCCAAATGGAAATACCATATGTAAGCACTGACATCACCACTGAAGACAGCAGCGCTCGTCTCCGTTGCTTAGGACCTCCGATATTGGGCATGAGGCGTGCTAAGGTGGATCTGACTCCAGATGCCATGGTACCCACATGCTCCACTTGCTGCTTGAACTTGAGTCGGGCATCGATCATTACTCCAAGATACTGAATAAACGGCTGAGATGTGATTTGGTAGTCACCGACTTGTAGTGTGATACTCTCCAATTTCTTCCTACTAGTAATGAGTACCGCTTCCGTTTTATGCTCCGCGAGTTGCAATTCAACTAAATCCATCCACTGACGTATCCTCCTGAATGTCGTATCGAAGATGGAGTTGATTTCCTCCAGGTGCTTCGCCACAATCACCACCGCCACGTCATCCGCAAATGCCACGAGTCTCACCTCAGTTGGCAATGCTACCTTCAGCAATCCATCATACATTATGTTCCACAAGAGAGGCCCCAGCACCGAGCCCTGTGGTACCCCTCCGGTGACTTGGTACTCTTTAGGGCCGCTCTCTGTGTCGTACTTGAGAACTCTGTCGGTGAGGTAGCTAGGTACCATCTTCCGCAGATACCCTGGGACGATCATCCTCTCGAGAGCCTCCATAATGCAGTTCCACCTGGCCGAATTGAAGGCGTTCTTGATATCTAGCGTCGGCACCAGGCAGTATTTTGTCGTAACTTCTCTCCATCTTCTCCCAGAGGTCGCTTCCTTGGCGGTGTTGACGACGAGGTCAATGTCGTCGATGGTAGAGCGACCTCTTCGGAAGCCATATTGGTTAGCAGCGGTTCTACTGCTGCTTCAATCCTTCTGTGGATGATGCGCTCGAGGATTTTCCCAGCTGTATCTAGCATGCAAAGTGGGCGATATGATGATGGCTCGTCCGGTGGCTTCTTCCCTTTGGGGAGGAGCACTAGTCTCTGCCGCTTCCACTTGGCGGGAAAGGTGCCTTCCTCCAGGCATGCATTGTATACGTCCAGAAACAGTCCTGGTGCTGCATTGATCGCTACTTTCAATGCAATATTGGGGATTCCATCAAGGCCAGGAGCCTTGGTGTTTCCCACTCTGTCGCACGCTTCCTTAAGTTGTTCCTCCGTAATTGGTAGGATCGATTTCTCCATGCTGTGCTCCGTGGACTGGCGGAGTTCCGGTTGTTGGGGGAAC